GTATAAAAGATGTAATTTCTGTACATCAAATACATACATCTAAAATTTCTATCATTCTTTCAACTGTATAACAATTTGATATAATTCTAAAACACACAAAGCTCTTTCTTTAAGCATCAAAAATAATACAATTTTGTCTTTAACCTGTACTTCCATTTACATATCATAATGAATTACAAAAGAATGTATTTGTATGCTCAAAATCCTAACTTGATTATACTTCTCTACAACAACAAAAAAAATGTACAAAAATTGAAGTTTAAATTTATCAAAATTTCCTGTGAGATACGATACTAAGTGTTAAAATGTTTCCTCTGGATTTCCTCTAAGCATTAAAATTACATAATTATTGTAATGAATAATTGATCAAAACATATCAATGTTACACATTTCAATAATCATTAAAAAGAAGGTAAATTTATTGGAAATGCATCTTACAATGAGCTAAACTGTGTATCTAGGAATCAATATGATTTACTATCATACAGAACTGGAGTAGAGCAAAGGTTCTGTTCCCACTTTCATATTTACAAATTTAAGATGAGAGAAAATTCATTCACATAAAACAGCAGATGAGAATGGAAGTTTTATCACATCAAAATCACTGAATTCTTTTAATTCCTTCTGGGTTATAGGCTAAAAAGCATATAATTACCTATCATCAAATATTATTTTTTATCATCTCTTACCTGACATTTCACATAGGTCAGCCTCAAAATTTGTTTTAAAATTAGAAAAGTACTTGTCACCCCTCATTAAAGTTATTCATTTTCTCAATTTGTGAAGCAATACAAAAAAATCTTACAGATTCATCATTTTCTTTCATGACATTGAGACAGGATTATTCTAAGACACTGACAGGATTAGGAAAACTGAAATACTATTCATTTCAACATCCTCTGGCAAAGAAAACAAACAAAACAAAGCAAAACAAAAACACTTGAAACCAATTTAAACGTCTTTCTCTTATCACTTGTTTTAAATGTATTTCTGAAGAAACAAAATACCTCAGAGCTGATGATTACACTCATTTAATTTGAGAATGTCCACCACAGAATATTAATGGCAAAACCTGCTGTTAATGGCAAACCAGCCAGCCAGTGGAGGCTTACTTTCTCAGAAAAATATCACATGATTTTCCAATTTGAATAAATATGTTAAGCCATGTCTGCTTTCACCTCATTTCATCTGAATTCTAATTCCAAAATTTCAGTAAGCCACAGATCCTTAAGTCACTTGGATGAAACAAGGCACTACCCACTTCAGCATTTCTCTTTGGTTTGGCTCTTAGATCAGGAATGATATTCTTTAAAATAATGAATACAAAATGTAAAGGTTAGGTCATTTCATGTTAACTCTTACGTTTAGGGAATTCAGAACAATGCAACACAGCCTGGTTTTAACATGAGGCTCTACCCTTAACAGATATATTTGTAAGTGTAAGAGACTTTGGAAAAAGACTTTTCCAATGTGGTCCTCCCATGTCCTCCTCCCCACAGTTAAACCTTCTCATACTCTCTTGTACATGACTCTGGTCCCAAACTGTTCCTCTCTACCCTTCTGGATAAAATCCCAAATGATCAAACAATGGCTACTAATATCTAAGGACAATTCCTTTTCTTCCCCCTTATAAAATGTTCTGTCCTCATTCCCCAAATTAGAATGTTGCTTTGACATCCTTTCCCATGCCCTGCATTTTCAAATAAAGGTTTATTCTTGGGTCCAATTTTCTTCCATATAAAACAGGAAAGGAAAGGATGCTCTCCTTAATACCTTAATTAAGAGACTTCACTACACCATTAATTTGAATTGTCCCTTTTTTCTGGACACCCTGGAAGGTTTTCCACACTTCTTCCCAGGGCAATATGCCATAAAAAATACTCATGATACATGAGAGCATGCTTTTCTTCTTTAAAGTAGAAGAGCATTTGTGAACAGGATGTGGGAAAAGAGAAGTAGCATACTACTTTGCTATCCTGATCAAAGGAGCTTTGTCAGAGAAGAAACAGAAGTTGAGAATTGCAGAGGTGATTCCTGTAGAATTCCTTCATACTGAGGTTTGAAGAACACTGGTTGGTACGTGTAGAGCACAAATCACAAGTTACCATGAGCAGTCTTCTGTTATACAACAGAAATCAGACCCACATATATGGCAGTTACAGGAATTATGAGAGAGCAAATTTAAACAAACTTTTAAAGCATTTGAAAAAATAAGAGTGTTTAAGAAATATAGTAACAAAAGACTATCAGAAATGGCTACGCTAATTTAAAAACAACAAAAAAAGAGAACAACCAGAAATAAAAAAGGGAAACAGAAACTCAATAAATGGGTGATACAATAGGATATGTGGAGGTGAACACAGACCTAAAGAAATTATACAGAATGTAGCACAGAGAGACAAAGGGATGCAAACTATGAAAACACTGAGACAAATAAAGGAGAAAAGTCCAACACGTCTAATCAAAATTTCAGTAGAGAATACTTAAACAGATAATAGTAGACAATTCTTCAGAATTTATGAAAGACACCCATCTGTAAATCCAGGAAGCCAAAGTCAATCCTAAAGAAGGCAGATGAAAAGAAATCAAGTCCTAGAAAATCAGAACATAAATTACAAGAGTGATAGATTGGCTATACTTTAAAATTAAGAACTTTTGAATACCAAAGGACTTCATGAATAGAGTGAAAAATCAAACTATGAACTTGGAGAAGACATTTGCCATGCATGGAACAAAGGAGTATTATTTACATTTAAGAAAAGACAAGCACTGAAATAAAAAAATGGACAAAACCAATAAATAGGTATTTCAAAGGGGAATCACAAATGGTAATTAACATATGAAAAGATGCTCAACCTCATTAAGACTCAGTGAATTGCAAATTTAGCTTCAATTTCATGCTCACCAGATTGGCAAAAATTAAAAAGTCTAATAACTTCAGATATGGTGGGTACCTTGGTGTTCATTTTATTATTTCTTAAGCTGTATAAACACACTGCATGTGTTCTTTAATATGCATATGTATAATAACAAAAAATATTTTGTAAGTACCACTGGATTTAGCAATGAACATGTTTGTCTATGGCCCTGCCGAGAGCAGTTTCAGTGAAATAAAGGGAATGAAAAGCAGGCTGCAATGAGCTGAAAAGGCTCTCTGTGATAGGAAGGTAAAGACGACACAAACAACTATTTCAAGCTTAAATTTGAGGTTAGGCAGACAGAACTTTAACATCAGGACAATGTCACAGTGAGAGCTTTTTTAAAATTTAATTTTTTAAATAAAGGAAACTGGGGCAAATTTAAAAAGAAATAGCAGAAGGAAGAGGACGATGACACAGAAAATAAAAGCCCCTGGCTATTCCCAAAGGTATATAATACGGAGCTTATGAATAGCAGTTAGTTTTAGACAGGAATAAGGGTTCCAACTTCACTGTTATAAAAAAGTACCTTTTTGACCTTATCATATCACATTTCTCATCCCTCTAACCATTCCAGTTACAATGGGCTCCTTGATCCTCCTTCAAGCAAGCCCCTGCCTCATGACTTCTGCATATGTTATTCCCTCTATTGAGAATACTCTTTTCCAAAGATGCAAAGCCTGCCTTTCACTCCTTTCAAGTCTTTGCTCAGATATGAACTCAGTGAAGTATTTCATGAATACCTTAAAAGTGAAATCCCCTCCTCACCCCCTTCTACCCTATTCCTAGTACTCCTTATTCTTTTTCCCTGCTTTTTCTTCAAAACCTTCTAATATTCCATATAATATACTCATTTTATTGTTTAATCCCCTCTTCCCCACTGTCTACAAGCTCCATGAACTATAGCCACAGCGCCTGGTAATGCTTGATACACAGGAAGAAACTCAATAAATACAAGGTGAATAAATGATTAATAGTCCCTACTCGAGGAACTGGAAGAACATATATAATGAAAACAATACTGTATGACTTGAACAAAATGAAGCAGAGCCTAGAGAGTAATCAACGTACTGCCTACAGAAGAGATTACATTGGAGTTAGATCTTGAATCATGAGTTTGCGAAGTGGAAAAAAAAAGACAGACATTCCAAGGAACTAAAAACATGGAGGTTTAAAAGGGCCTTGTACACTTGAGAAATGAAAATGGGGTACTAGAGTACGACAGGGAAGACAGTAGACCAGATTTTAGCGAACCTTACAATGTTCACATCAGAGGACACATTATACCGAGTTTTTCAACGCTAAAAACCCTTTATAGAAGATTATAGTTGCTTGGTCACTCTTTTTATTTGCAGTCAAGTTTAAAGTTTACATAGAACTACTGCAAAGAAAAAAGTTTGAACAACCTCATCTGTTCTCCAACTGCAGACTGTTATGTCTCACAATCAACCACAGTATTCCTACTAATTGTCTCAAACCCAAGTATTATTCAAAGAAGTCAAGACAAAACATTCTCATTGGTGGGAAAATGGTCAAATTCAAGGGCTACTTCAATTCAAAGACTACTAGTCTCCATTTCACCATTTATGAGTTTTTTAATGGGCTTGCCTGTTGTCATACTTAACCTGCACTTATTACTAGGTTTTCAATTGGTCTACCTTCCTCTGTCCACATCATTACTGTCCTTGGGACACAGCTTCGTTTTAGCTCCAACACAATTACTTAACCATCCAGGTTATTTTCGATACAGGAGGCACTCTGGAGTACACACACAAACCTTAAGACAGTGTATTAGCTCAAGTGCCCAGGTAGCCAGTTTAGGAATACTTATGCACAAGACTAAAAAGATGGCAAACACCAACTTTTAAGTTTTGCCTCTCTGGGGCCTGCGGCAGGGGAGAAGGGGGAGCACGTGAGATGGGGGAAACCGAGAAAAGGGCGGGGCTCCACTGTGTTCCCAGGGAAGGCCAGAGGTCAAAGCTCAGGTCTAAAGCTGAAGGGGCGGGGCCTGCCTTAAAAACCAAGGGGTGGTGTGTGGGTTCTGGAGGATGAGAAGGGACACGGCGACTCGGAAAGACTCACAGTAATAAGCCACCACAGGGTCCCGCTTGTCATGTTCCTGAGCCGTCCTCAGATGATGCTGTATGCTCTTAAACTGGGGGGGGAGTGGGGGCAGCGGAGCAAGCGCGGCCATCTCTATTCCAGAAATCACCACTTCCTACTCGCGCGCCACCGACACTTCCGCTTCCGTCTGGCAGGTCGCGCGCACGAACGCGAAAGGCAAATCCCGCCCACTCTCCCGTTGCTCAGCGACAGCAAGTCAACTACGGGCTCCCAACAGGGACAACCTCAGTGTACCTCGCTCTTGGTGGTTAGAACCCAGAGTAGGCTAGGCCGCTCCGCGGTAGTGCGGCTTGTGGCACCAGCGCTCTCTGCTGGCTGCGGGTGGGAGGGAAAAGAGTTTTCGTTTTGTTTTACCTTGTCGTGTCCCTCCTGCCTTTTTTTCTTTTCTCCGCCCCGCTCCTTCCGTCCGTCCTTCCCTCCTTCTTTCCTTCCTCCCTTCCTCCTTCTTTCCCAATACAGCAGGTAGGAAGGCGAAAGCAAGAAGAGAATAATGTTTGTTGATGGGAGAAAGGGTAAAGGCGTGAATTGCCTTTAATATCATTCAGAAATTATCACTTCCAGTTTCTCAGATTATCTTAATAATGTCCTTAGAAGCTTTTCTGATTTTAGAAACTTTAAATTTAATTACTGTGGAGGATGAGAGGTAATTGAGTTCTTCTGTATTGACACATTGGGTAAAATAGCCAGACTCTTTTCAACTTAAATACCAAGCACATTAAGCTTAAAGAAAGTTGAATTTTTGTTCTGAACTGGTGAATGAATAATCTGAAGATCATTTATTTCTGGAGAATGATCAATAATTTGCCAAATATATTGACTCATACCATTGTCGGCATCAACTTTTCCTTCTACCATCAGTGACTTCCGTTCTTTTTCTCTCTTCTCCATCCCATTCTGTCGTTTTCCAGGACTTTACACTTTATTGGCCTTGTCCAATAACCTTCATCTTTATTGCTTTTTTTTTTCTCAGCTCCCAGTTTTGAGGGTTCATCTTAAAACTAGCTTTCATTGAAATCACACCATCTCCAAGGAAAAAGATCTGAACCTCTGAAATTTGTCATGCCTGCTATTCTCTCATCACCAAACCATCTTCCCCACTCCCCCACCCCTGCAGAAACTGCTCTGTGTCCTCATTATTACCCCCTACTCCACATCCTTTGTCTATTTCTGCTTGCAGAGCACATTACCTTACTGGGTCTGCCTTTTTTTTTTTTTCTTTTTTTTTTTTACCCAACAAGAAACTGAGTTCTGTATTCTCCGCAATCTCAGTAACATTCACTACCACTTGACAATGTATGTGTTATAGACTGAATATTTGGGTCTCCTTAAAATTCATATGTTGAAACTTAATGCCCAATGTGATGGTACTAGGAGGTGGAGTTTCTGAGAGGTGATGCAGGCAGAGCCTTTATAAATGGGATTAATACCTTTATAAAAGAGACCCCAGAGAGCTAGCTGGGACTTCTCCCATGTGAGGAGGATAAGATACAAAAGCAACATTCTGCAACCTCCAAGAGCGGTCCTCACTAGAACCTGACCATGCTGGACCCCAGTTCTTCCAGTCAGAAGAGTGGATTGGTAGAGGAACTAAAGCAGAGTGGAATAACCATAAATGCCATCTGTTTGTCCTTATGACTTCTCATTTATTCTTTTCCTATTCTTGATTGTCAACTGTGGTTATTCTTGAAGTTCACCTAAGAAGTTGTTGTTGTTGTTGTTGTTGTTTCCAAAGACCTATCTAGGTCTCACTCCCAGGCACCCCAATGTCAATGTCCTGGGTTGGAGCCTAAATAGCAGTATTTTTAAAAGGGCTTCAGGAAGTTTCAATGGTTGAGGACCAGTGCCCCAATGAATCATCAATATGTGGGTGATGTTTCAAGCCTTGTCCTCTCTCTTTAAGCTAGACTCTCTGTGGTGATTTCCTTGATTAGAACCTGCAGTTCCTGCTATTGAGATTAAGGTCATGAGATATGAATTGTTTTACCCCACCTCTGCTACAACAAAGTAATAATAACTAGCTGGCGTTTGCTGAGCTTTCTATTACGAATCATGTATGTTTCTAGGGACTTAGCATAAACTCATTTAATCTTTACCACACCCTATGAAGAACGTATTATCACTTTCATTATTTTATAGAAAAGAAAAATGGAGCAGTTAGGCATTATGTAACTTGCAGCAGATCACAGCCAGCAAATATGAGTGTTTGATATTAAAATCCATGTGCTTTGGTTTCAGAGCCTATGGAATCTAACCTCTAATGACTTTGATGTCCCTCTATGCCAATATATCCTTGTATTTTATGTTTTTCCTATTGAATGATCCTATGTCTGAAAAAAGGCTCTACCTTCCTGTTATTCTCCAGATCTCTCCCTTTGGGACTGGAGATTGTTCAGGTCCCTTTCTCTTTTGCATGTGTTCTAGGAGGAAAGAGACAAAATAAGCAAGTAAGTGAAATGGATTTTACGCCATCTGCTAAGACATGCTTGCTTCTTTCCAAGTACTGTACTCCCGTCGTGAAAGGACTATTGATAGGGGGAAGAAAAGTAACAGCACCTTAAAATTATGGTGTGAAAGAAAATAAATATTAATAACATGCGATTGTTTCTTCTTGATGTTTTATAATGAAGAAGTTATTATGAAGGAAGACCTAAACTCTCCTTCATCCAGCTCTGAAGAGTTGCTGAAGGATTTCACATCCCCCTCCAGGTTGGGGCTTAAATCTTGGCTAGTTAGGGGAGGGCATAGGTGGAATTAACCAGTCAAGCTCCCCGGGCCTGGCATTTTCTTTGTGGGAAGGCTTTTGGTTTTAAAGATTTTATTTATTTATTTATTTGACAGAGATCACAAGTAGGCAGAGAGGCAGGCAGAGAGAGAGAGGGAAAGCAGGCTCTGCGCTGAGCAGAGAGCCCAAAGCGCGGCTTAATCCCAGGACCCTGAGATCATGACCTGAGCTGAAGGCAGAGTCTTAACCCACTGAGCCACCCAGGCACCCCAGGCTTTTGATTTTAAATGTTATTTCTTTAATAAATATAAAGATACTCATATTTCCTGTTTAATTGTTAAGTTTTTAGTAATATGTGCCTTTCTAGGAATGTGTTCATTTTATGTAAGTATCAAACTTATTGACATAACATTGTTCATGATGTTTCTTTATGAACATTTAAATACTCTGTTGTGATGTCCCTCTTTTTCATTTATGAAATGAAATTCATTTTCATTTTCCCTTTTATTATCCCAACCTGTCTAGTGAGAAATGTATTGGTTTTACTAATCTTTGCAAAGAAACACTTTTTGTTTCCTTGATTTTTTTTCTATTGTCATTCAGTTTTCTATAGTTTTTTACAGTTTTCAGGTTTTGTGTTTTTTTATCTCTCTTCTATTTAATTTGTATTTAAATTCTTTTTATAATTTCCTAAGTTGAGAGGTTTAAGTCATCTTATAACTTAATTGTTTTTCTAATAGAATATTTATTTATTTATTTTAAAGATTTTATTTATTTATTTGACACAGAGAGAGAGAGAGATCACACGTAGGCAGAGAGGCAGGCAGAGAGAGGGGGAAGCAGGCTCCCTGCCAAGCAGAGAGCCCGATGCGGGGCTCGATCCCAGGACTCTGGGATCATGACCTGACCCAAAGACAGAGGCTTAACCCACTGAGCCACCCACAAGCCAACCCACTTAACCCACTGAGCCACTAATAAAATATTTACAACTTCTAATATTGTTGATTACTCTTCTAGCTGCTTTCCACAAATTTTGAGAAACTGTGTTTGCATTAGTATTTGTTTACTGTAGTTTTCAATTTTCCACATAACTTCTTCCTCGAACTATGGATTAATAGAATGATATTGCTAGTTTCTCAAATACTTGTGCATATTCCTGACCTGATATCTTATTTTTATTAACTTCTAGTTTAATTCCATTGTGACCAGCTCCCATACTCCATATGATTTCATTCCTTCAGACTTTCTTATGACCCAGCAAACAGTCCCTCTTGGTGAATGTTCCACATGCACATGAAAAAAAAAAATGTATAATCCGCTGGTAAGGTGAAGTGTTCTCTAAATATCAATAAGGGCAAGTCAGTTATTAGTAACGTGTAAGTACTCCCTCTCCTTTCTGATGTGCTTTATACTTTGTCGATTGATTAGTGAGAGAGGGGTGTTGAAATCTCTAATTGTAACTGAATTTATTTCTCTTTTGAATTTTGTCAGGTTTTGCCTCATATATTTTGTTACTCTTTAACTGGTGACATAACATTTAGAATGTTTCCTTATGAAATTATCCTTTAATCATTATTAAATGTTTCTTTTATCCCAGTCATTCTCCTTTGCCCTGAAATTTACTTGGGTTTCCTGATATTGTGGCGAATTCAGCTCTCTTATGCTTTTGCATGATATATCCTTTTCCACCTTTTTTCTCATTATCTATTTGTAAAATATTTGAATGGTCTAAATAATAAATCTTTAAATATTCAAAAATATTTAAAGTGGTGTTCTTGTTAATTGGTCTAGCTTCTAAACAAATGCATCCGGACAATCTTTGCTTTTGTTTAAGTGTGCAAAGACCTTTTATATTTATTGTTACTATTGATATTTTTAGATTTAGATACTACCTTGTTATTGCTTTCAATTTGCCCCATCATTTTTTGTTTCCTTTTCATCTTCTGTATTAATTGAATGTTAATTAACTAATTTTATGATTTTATTTAGCTTCCTTTGTTAGCTTTTTAGCCCAAATTTTGTTGTTTTGCTTTACCAGTTATCTTATAGATTAAAGTTTATATCTTTAAATTATCACAGTATACTTCAGGTGATAACATACAACTTTACATGTAAGAATCTTATAATAGTATATTTCTTTTTTTTTAAATTTTATTTATTTATTTGACAGATAGAGATCACAAGTAGGCAGAGAGAGGAGGAAGCAGGTTCCCTGCTGAGCAGAGATCCCGATGCGGGGCTCGATCCCAGGACCCTGGGATCATGAGCTGAGCCGAAGGCAGAGGCTTAACCCACTGAGCCACCCATGCGCCCCATAATAGTATATTTCATACTTACTTTGATTCACCAAATTTTCTATTTTATTATTATTTTCCTTTACTATTTTGTATTTA